CAGACGATCGGGAGAGGTTCGGGTGATTGTCCATTGCAATCATGGCTTTGGTTGGTTGTTCTTTTTCACTGTACGTCCGCAGACACATTCTGACAGCACTTCAGACAGCAGCTTTGTGCCCCGCCAGCTTCTTGTTCCATGCCTACCATGGTGTTTTTGTACAGACAGCACTTCAGACAGCAAGTATGCTGTAGTCGGCAATCATTCGTTTTGGTACAGAGTGGGACAGGTAGGGGGTGATGTTACTGTGGTCGAACGGTGAGACGGACGTGTAGTTCAGTTTTGGGCACGCGTGCGGTGCTGCAGGGATTATAATAGGTGTAGTAGTACCTCTTCGGGCGCTTGGATACCTTTTTCTTGCTACGTGTGCGTGTTCTTTAGATCCTCAGATGGCTCTAGCACTTTCGTGACCACGGGCTGAGAGTCTTTGCTAGATTTTGGCATGTAGCAACTGGCATACGGTTTAATGTGAAGTCAACAACAACAACAACAACTCAACATCAATAAACACCGGCCAGGTTACACGTGGCGTATGACTACCCACGGCGCGCAGGTCGTACAGGCTCGGCCCCTACTGGTTTTGATAGCTGGTTTCGGATCAGCGTCCCAGCGGTGATGCGTTTTTTTACGGTGTTGTTGCGTCTCTGCCTCTGTGTCTTGTCCTGGTTTCAATCGCGCGGGCGCGCGCGCGAGATCTGTTGTTCTGTTCCCCTTTTAGCGGAAAACCTAAGGGATGGGGTGAGCTATCTCCTGCGATTTTTGGGCACACATGCCTGTGAAACGCGGCCATCTCTCGCTATTATTCTTCTTCCTCAGAAGCAAACAGATCGATCGCCAATCGGCTTCCCGGTAATCAAGTTCTGGGGCCCCTGTATCGCGCGGCGCAACTTTGGCCGATATTTAGACTAGATATTCAGAGCCTGTTTTTCCCTCCTCCGACGGAGGGAAAAGAAAGGTCGCGCTTTGCGCTCCGCGGCTCATTATGATGACCTTACCCCTTTGTCTGCGAAATACTAGGATCGATGCAGGGGATGTACGTCTGTGTCTGGCCCGTGATGTTGATTTCCGGTCGTGCCTTGACCACATCCCATTCGTGTGTGGAGGGGGGCGGAGGACTCCAGTCTACCATTGAGTTCTATCGGCTTGCGGAGCCTTCGGGGCCGTTCTATCTGAGCCTTTTTTAGGGCAAGGTATCCTGTGACCACGGGAATCGACCGCGTCAAGTGCTGGATCTGTACGGCCTGGGTAGAGAATCGAAACCGTCTTTTAATGTGAAGACAACAACAACAATAACAACAACAGTCAAACCTCTTGAGAAACCTTGTCGGAGGCGTGCAATACCTCACAAACACACGATGCGCCTCCCCCGAGCGAGTAGGAGCATGAACGGACAGCATACCACGCAGGCGGCGGGA